TAGGGTAGTGTAAGCCTAGTTAAGAATGACTTTCTTATTGTTTAGAGTTGGGATTGGAAGAAGGTGTTCAAGTTAGACACTTTTTCCACATGACGTTAAGACTTAGCTAGAATAGACATAGGATGTATCATAGCAGATTATTGTATATTCTTGTATTCCACCCTTATGATTGTTAGTTTTGGATATTTTACACTATTAAGTTTTAATCCTCTCTTAGACTAAAAGGGGAATTGTAGGGAGTAACCCTAGCCCCGCCCAATAGTCCTGAGGCAGGTACCAGGTGGACCTGGGGACTCGCCCATAAGGGCGGGGTGAAGGAAAGCCGGGATGACGTAAAGGGGACTTCTTAAGAGCGGCACGGGAACCGCGCGCTCTCTTTGTTCTGGCTGCGCTGGCTGGGTTCTTAACCTAGCTCTGGCCTGTGTTTCACCCGGCTGTGCTTGGAATAAAGAGACTTAATCCAATATACTACCTTTGAACCTCGGAAACTGTGCACTAAATCAGCCTCTTCCCTTTATAATTAAGTCCCTGCATGCTCAGTGGTGCCTCCATTCTCTTTTGAAGAGCTGGGAAGCCCTTCTTCCTGGGAGTTTTCTCTCTACACTGCATGTGCATGCAGCTCAGTGCTGACAAAGCACTTGAAACCCTCTCATGCGGCTTCTTTGACTTTTTCGGTAGCATCTCTTCTGACTCAAGATCATGTGGTTTGGTGACTGCCCTGAACCCAGCTGACACATCTAGAACACTGCTGGCACAAACATGGGTGTCCCTAGTCACATCTACACAGACTATGCTTCTCTGATTTCATTTGTTTTCATGTTTCAAGTGTCTAGTGGGGATTTTCAAAGGTTCTAGTTAAGGTACAGATATCTTTGGGACGTTTACCTGCTTACCAAGACTCACATTAAGGCTCTCCATGTGCTAAACAAAAACCGCTGCTGAGTGGTCTAATGGTCACCACCATCTGCTAGAGTAATTGCAGAATCTCTGCATCTGCTCTGAGGTAGCAGAACAACTTTCAACACAATGAACATTAGACTCTCCCCAGCTCCTCCCACTCCATTCCCCAAAATTAGACCTGGGTGGGAACACATTTCTGTCAAAACCTTTCAGTAATGAAACGGTTGTCAATCCGAACTCATTTTGAGCTAATGATGGTTTGGGCTCCACTCATATATTGGGTAGCATGGTACTCAATGAAAGCCATGGATAGATTGAGGTCAGCTAGATGAAGGGTGCACCAATAGTGTCGCCACCCCCTCTCCTTCTCTCTGGAATTGAACACTATATGTGGATAACATAACCAATGATGATGTGGAGAATGTGCCAGAGGCTACTGAGACAAGCTCTGTTAACTCAGAAATTGGAAGATCCACTATATGGGACCTTTTGTTGCAGTAATTTGGCTTTCTATCACAGAGTCATAGTGGATGAATGGAAATATGAATTAGATATGTACTCTATAAAATGAATCATTGACAAATAGTAAGGAAAATTCAAGTAGCACTGTATTTCCCAAACTTTTGCTCAGGGACCCAATGAGGACAATATAATTAAACCCTCACATTTCTGTTTGCAACGTAGCTGTGAATATCTAAAACTAGAAATTTGAGTGAATCGGGGCCGTGCCGTTCTGTCTCCTCTAGAATTACACGTGTTCTTCACTGAAGGGACTTGAATTGCATGAGCAATTTTCTTTTATGTTACAGGGAAAATACTGGAGGCACAGGCCATAAGTTATACCAATTTAGGACAATCCAGCAAGGCAAAGTCCTTTCTTCTTTGATAGATAGTTGTCTTTTTCTGTGTTGTCCTTTTAATTTCTAGGGAGAAGAGGCCTTTTCCTCCAAAGCCTGTACCTTGCAATGTCAAAGTCAGGGGCAATAGTTAGGATGGCAGCACACAGGAAGTGCTCTGTATTCAGAGAAAACCAGCATTGCACTCTGAGCGGGGAGAGATGGTGTTCTCTAGCATGCAACAGTCCCCGAAGCCTGGCTACCAGAATGGAGAACAGCCTGGCTGGCAGCCTCCTTCCCTATGCCTCGTATAGGTCTTCTTCATATACTGTAAGGAGACATTATTTATGGTGCCCAAACAGGTACAGGTATGATGTTAGTGTTATAACAGCCACCAACTTCTGTTGATAATGGACATATTTGCCCACGCTCCTTTTAAGCTTATCCTATTTCTGCTTCAGAAAATCCCTGTCCTCAACAGATGAAATTCATGAATTTGACTAATTTCTTCACACTCTGCTTTTCACAAAACCACAACTATTGTTCATGGCCCTCCTTCTTTCTGAAATACCTAGACTCCAATGAAACATTCAACTTCTTAAAAATTAAGAATATTTCATATATATATGTGTGTGTGTGTGTGTGTGTGTGTGTGTGTGTGTGTGTACACACAGGCACATATGTACATCCATATAGTGGTTAGATGTGATCATCTCATACATCATACAAACTAGCCACCCTTGTGTAGTATCATAAAGTTATGCAAGTTTTGTGCAGTACTTTGAATGTAGAATGCCAAGCAGAAGCCAATTTGCAAGTAGGGGCAGCCTTGTTTACGGAGCCTTGTCTCTATAAAGAAAGTTAGAACTCACTTGTGCCATTAGCCCTTGAAATAGATCAGGGCATTCCATTTTATTTACTGTTTCTTATTCTGTAAAGCAAACTCCTATGAAAAACAATAAGGATACATTTCTAAACCACCTTCCTTTATGCTGTATGTTTGCCAGATATGTAAAAAGCTTAGTTTTCTTCCCATAATACTCTCTTTCTAAACTACCTTCCTTTATGCTGTATGTTTGCCAGATATGTAAAAAGCTTAGTTTTCTTCCCATAATATTCTCTTTCTTGGTTTCATCCAGTTTTTGTTGTGATTTCCCCACTTATACATTTTCTTTAGGCAACCCATATATTACCTGACTTATCTTCCCACAAGTCAAGTGCCCAAAAGATAGTCGCCTTAATTGCAAATATGGATAACACAGTCACACCACACACACACACACACACACACACACACACACACACACACACACACACACACCACAGAGAACACTCATTTGAAGCGTGCTCCCTATTGATCATCAATCACACACGTTAGTCACAAGCCAACAACCAGGATGTTAAACCCTTCTGCGATGCACCCTAACCAAACCTCCAGAGTGCATGGTTGTTGACATCCACACTACAATATTCAATTTCATGACTGATAACTGGCCCCTCAAAAGTGGTGTTCTGGCCTTGTGTTTGGAAAAAAAGACCCACTAACCTCTCAAATATGTCTCTGTGAACATCTTCAAGAAAACACCAAGTGCTACTACCAGAGAGCTACTCCAGCAAATAAGACTTCGATGACAGAATTTGTAACTCACACGCTTTGCTATGAGTCATTACCTCCTCTTAGTGATCTTCTAATATTGGCATGACTCATTTGTCACTAATTTGAACAGAAAATGGTCACAGCTCAGACATTAGGTCATCACGTTTTCATGTGTGTAGAAAGTAAGACTAGGAAAATTCAAATAAGTTTTTCAAGATCATGGAGGAGTTAGTTCATACTTCACTCTTAATTGCTACAGGACTTGAGTAAACACTAAAGGAAAACAACCATTAGGGCTTTGGAGAGAGCTGAATTGATAAATTGCCTGACTTTAAAACATGAAGAGCAGATACGATGGTGCCGGCTTACAATGCAAGGATAGGCAGACAGGTAGACACCTGTGGCTGGCTGTCCAGACACCCTCTTGCTGGAAACCCAGTTTGACTAAGGAAAGTTCAGCTCCTCACTCTGTTGACACGGGGCCACCTGTGTCTTCCACATGCTCCTCAGTCTAATCTGTGAAACCATGTTACCTAAATTATCTTTTTAAATATGCAAAATGAGTCGTTATTGCTTGAGTCATTCTGTTATTATATTGATTATTTCACTTTTTATTTCTGGCTGAATTTGTACATATTTCTTATCTAAATATATGTTTTTATTCAGATATTTTTTTACAATTTTTACAATTAAAATGATTCTTTTCTTGGTATTTGGACATTTTTGTAACCTCTTTGTGAAATCCATAAATAGACACTTGTTCCAGATTCAAACTGTTTCAGTGAATGCCCATGGAAATGCTAAGAAACACACACTGTTTTCAGAAATGGTTGGACCTTGACCTAAATATGTTAAGACTGAAACATCATTTGAGGTCAGGCATGATGGTGTGCCTAAGCTCAAAACTCAAGATTTGAAGGCAGGAGAATGACTACAAACGGGAAGAGAGCCTGTTTTATCTAATGATTTCCTGGCTACATAGCAACAGTCTATCTAAAATAAGAATAAGAAGGCACAAACAAAATTCTAAAAGAATAAATGAGAAAACAGATTTGCCTCAGATAATTCTTGACTGATGAATTGAGTATCAAGGAGTTCATCCTGCCAAAATAGAAACACCAGGTTCCTTTTTTTTAACCAATTATAAAACTTTATTTCTAGTAAAATCACACAAAAATTTCAAAAATAAGTGAATTCCGGAGGTACAAAGAGAAAAGAAAAGCAATGAGATTGGAATTATACTTGCAAACCAGATGGACATTAGCTGCTGTGAAGTGGTCAGGGACAGATGGCCTCTAGGAAATGCAGACATGGGAGGTTTCCATTGGTGCTACAGAAACAGCAATTCCTGCCCTACCCATCAAGAAGGAAAAAGCATGCTCACTTCATCAGCACATATAGTAAAATCAGAGCAACACAGAGATTAGCATGGCCTCTGCTCAAGCATGACATTAAAAAACACCAGGTTCCTAATCACATCAATATAGGGACTTCTACTTTGTAATTTCATATATCCACTTGCAGAATCTGACATCAAAATATCAAACCTAAGTGACTATTATCACTCAATTTCTTATTTTAATACTGTACAGCTGGCCTCTTTCCCAGGGAGGTTCATTAATTTTCCCCAAAATTAACCAGCTAGTTAGTGGTAAACTGAGCTGAGAACCCCCACAACTCCCTATACTACTTCATGTTCTCTCTGTGTGAATCTAGAAATGGCAATGAGAAAATAAAGATTTGTCTCTTGAGAAATAAAGTATATCATTTTTCGCAGAATTAAAAGATGTTTAAGTCCATATTCTATCATATACCTCAAGTTGTACCGTGATTCTCTTATCATCCTTGCTTCAGTCCTCATCTACTATTTCTCTAAGACTTCATCAGCTGCAAAATTAAGCCATGGAAGATTGGAAATATGAACTTGGCATCTATAAAGAGGGTGAAAGGGAAAATCCTGGCATTCCTTCAAGATACAGTGGTGTAATGGGAAGATGATGAGCTAGCTGTCGGAAGCCAATGGGGATCTTGAATTGAGATTTATTCTTTGAAGGCCTAACTGTTCTCTTATGGTGCTCTCAAAAAATCAGGAGTGTATTATGGGTGAGCACAGCCTGAGATTGGCTTTGAATGGTCTTACTGAGTTTCAAACAGCCTGCTTCTCTTTAGTGTTCACTCCTGTCCTGTGGCGATTAAGACACTTTTGAAAAGAAAAGATTCTTGACAAATGGCAGTTATTGTGGAAGGGATTTCTGTCTGTGTAGTTGTGCCATGAGCTGTACATTGCATGCTAAGTTTTAGGGCTGGAAAAGTACAAGTTGCTGCCCATGCTTCAATTTCATACCGTAAAATTGAAGCTGCTGGCAAATGCAAACCATCTGTGATGCTATCACCCCCAGGCTTTTGTGATCGTCATATGTCATAGCATATTATATTTGAAGATTTTTTCAATGGAAGATAATAGTGTGACCATTACATTAGGTAATAAGCATGGCTATACCTCCTGAACATGTGAGGTTCTATTTAAATGCTAATAATCGTCATTTCAGAGCATTTGGAATGCAGCTAAGTATGGACACCCCAATAAAAACCCTTTTATTTTAAAGAAAGGATAATAGCTAATAGCATGGGTGAAACTCATTAGCTTTTGTAGGCATCAGCTTGAAAAAATCCTCAATAAAATGTCTTGGTAGGAGTGTAGTCAAAAGAGGTCTTCTGAGTAGGTCGAATAGGGAACAAATGTATTGTTTGCATTGAAGAATGATTCCCCATCGTGCACATGAACACTTCTTGTTTCAAGATAAAAATTTCTTCCTGTTCAATTACTTATGAAATGTTCCTTACTAACCATTATGTATCTTTGCCCTAAAGGAAAAGAATGGAGATTAAAATCAATCACTTTTCTCTAGAAACTGGAAAATAGCTATGGTGATTGGAGTGAGGAATGTCCCACATTGGCTTATGTATTTGAATACTTGTTTCTCAGTTGATGACACTGTGTGGGGAGGTTTGGGACTTTTAGCATGTGGAGTCTTGCTGGGGTGAAGGAAGATTTGAAGGTTTACAGCCTTGCTTCAGTTCAGTTCTGTGTCTGAGTGTGATCTCTCTCTCAGCTTTCAGGCCTAGCTGCCTGCTGTCATTCCTCTCCCACTGATGTGGACCTATAAACAAAATATACTTAATTTTTTAAGTTACCTTGATCTTGATGCTTTATTGCAGCTACAGAAAAGTAATTAATACAGTAGGTAAGGAACAGAAGCTAATAGTTATTCAAAATGAAGAATGTGAAAATATGAAGGGATAATAATAAAACAAGGAAGTAGGTATTAAAGAAGAAATGGAGATAACATTATTAGGTCACCTTCATTGTCAACTTGACACCAAACAAGCATGGAAACACTATACTCATGAGGATGCTTCCAGGGTCAACAGGAAAGACTCACCCTGAAAATGGATGACACCAACTCCTGAGATGGAGTCTTGGGCTAGATAAATAGGAGAAAGTGAATTGGATAAATAGGAGAAGACATGAAGCCATCATTCATCTCTCTCTACTTTCTGACTGCAGACACAATGGGACCAGTTGGCTCAGGTGCCTAACATTGTGTCTTCCCTGCATGAGGGACTTCATGCCTAATGTCTAAGTCCAAATCCACCCTGCAATTCTTAAGGTGTTTCCTCAGGCACTTGGTAGTGGCAGTGAGAAAAGCCACAATACAGAAGATTGGTTTGAGTCTAGCCTTGAAGGATGGGCAGGTTTTATTCACTAGAGACATAAGATAAAGAGAGGCACACTCTAGGCACACTCTAGACGACAGGACTGGATAACATAAAGTGCTGTTTTCCATTCTTGACCAAAGCTCCTGACAGTATCCTTGTTGATTGTCCACAGCTATCTGTGAGTTCTAGAGAGTTGGTAGCCTCTGGGTTGGCATCCTTTCTCTTTTCAAGTTTCTATCTGTAAACAGTTTTTTTTTTTAATTTTAAACATGTGCTGTCTTTAAGGACTAAACAAACAAAAATGGCAAAACACACTATCTGGACTCTTCCTCCTGTCAACCTGGTACTGCTCACTCCCTCGGATCATCTCTTATTCCGTGTATCTATGCTGTGCCCAGCAACCATGTTTGTCCATTTGAATTGTTTTTGCAAACTGATAGTCTTGTCTTTAATTCAAATCTCAGTTGTTCATCATTAGCACAGTTTTTGCTTCTGAGTCCTAGACCTCCCTATCCAACCACCTAGTTGAAATTTTTTCTCATATGTTATAGGTCACTTTGTCACTGTGACCAATGTCCAGACAGAACAATTTAAGAATCTAGAGTGTATTTCAGCCATGGCTTTAGACAGACATGTGTCCTTCATGACAGGAAAGGCACAATGGGAATAATTCTGTCTATGGGAGCAGGAACAGGAACAAAGCACTTCTTACATCCTGGCAGAGTAGGAAGCAGAGAGAGTAGGGGGTAGTCAATGTGGGGTATGACCTTAACACGAGTTACCTTATCGGCCTACTTGTGCCAGAAAGACCCCGCCTCCTAAAAGCTCTACATTCACAAAATGGAATGACCAGCTGAAGATCCATGAGTCTTCAACGTATGTAACCAAATGTAGGCAACCTATAAAAATAGTCTTTATAGATAGAAGAGACTTTAATACTGGTGCAGTAGGAGTGACGTTGGGTTAGGAGCACCCCTGGGTGAACTGAGGAGTCAGCAACATTCATCCACCTGCTTCCTCTTCCTGAGGTGCCATTCATTTTAACATTTCCTGAGATCAGATGAGATTGGGCGTGTTCAGGGTGGAATGGCCATAGACAACTTTAACATTTCCTAAGTGTTCTATGTGTTGGGTTCTATAGCAGCACAGGAAGAACAAAGATGGGCTCTTCTGAAGAGCATATCTGAAGGAGTGGCTCTGCTGAACATATGCATACTCTGTAGAACAGCATAAAGGACCCTGTCTTAGCACTAAGTCAGGAGAGTATGTGTGATGACGGACTTTCTGCCCCACCAGGTCCCGCAGGTGTTCAGTCCCAAATGAACACACTGAGGCTTATGATAACTACAAACTGTTTGGCCAATGGCTTAGGCTTCTTACTGGATAGCTCTCTCTTAATTATTAACCCATAACTGTTAATCTGTATATTTCTACATGGTCTTGGTTTAACAGAGAATGCCCATGCAACCAACCTTTCCGGTAGCTATATGGTGTCTCCTGAAGTGTCACTCTCTCTCTTCTTCTTCTTCCGACAATTCTCCTAGTCTGGTATCCCCTATACTTCTTAGTTGGCTATATCCTGCCTGTCCATTGGCCGAAACAGCTTTATTCATCAACCAATAAGAGAAACATATATTCTCAGCATACAGGACACCCCCATCAGATGTGTTTATTTGACATTGTCACCTCTTCTACATACAGTCACCAGTGATTTCACATACAGAATGTGCTTCAGTGCCTCATCCCGGGTGGTTCTGAGCAGTGTCACTGAAGCCAGGGTTTTGAAGCAGTGACAATGTAGGGGTGAGAGTGAAACTACTCAGTCTTCCTGACTCTGAACTACAAACCGTGAGGTGGGAGGGGCTGGTATAGCATGTACAAAGCCCCAGGACTGGGACATGTTCAAAAATGTTAGAAGTATGACTTGTTAATGTTCCAGATGATAAAATACATTCAATGCAAAGTATGTGCATTCATATGTGCTTAAAATGATACAAATAAAGGTCTACTTTCAAGAAAATAGAAAACTGAACATTATGCCCTGTTTAAATACCAACGAATACCAAATAGTGCATTTACTGTATACTCCAATGCTCCATTTGGTCTTTTAGTCTGAGCCAAATTATTTTACTATTTAGTGTTGTGTCTCAAGAGTGTCCAGAGCATCTTCAAGGAGAGTATAAATGATTGTGTAAAATGAGAATTTCATGTAGACTTTAGTGACCAGTTACTATCAGGTACAATGTGGCAGGTGTCTTGCTTCTGTTTGTTTAGCTGTGCTTGGACTATGTCAAATATAGCCGGCTGCGTGGTGGCAGTTGAGTGCTTTGTTCTGTGCAGGCTTTCACATCCTGGCACAGTCTGGCTTTCACAAGGAGCAGCCCCATCTCTCCCAGTGCTGTTTGCTGTGTAGTGGCAGAATGGAGCATCCTAGAACTTCATACTTCATCAAAATCTGCTGCAAACATTACTGGATCATCAGGCACATAGAGTAATGATTTTATAATTGGGCTGTGTGCTTATTAGTGTTGTACTTGGAGAAACCGAATTAATCACACACTTAGAATCCTTCGAAAATTTGTACTTGAAAATATTTTGACCATACGCAATAACCTATTGTGGTTTTTGTAACAGTAATTTCCATTAATACCAGTAGAAGGATATTATGTAATTTCTTTAAATTTTCTATTTAGACATTGTCATATAGAGTACTATCTCATTTTGAAAATAAGATTTACATGTCTGGGAGACTGCTCATCA